AGTAAATTTATATAAATATATACTTTAGTAGAAATAATGAATTCATAGAGGAAATATAGAGAGTTAGTCCTTCTAGGGTAAACTAAAGTAAAATGTTCACAGTCCGTGTTGGATGTTAGACACGCGCACAGATATATACATATACATATATGCATATATACATATATACATATATATGTGCGTGTGAGAACGCGCGTGCGTGTATGAGTGTGTGTGTGGACGTCAGCAATGCTACCCACTCAATCACTGCCTTGTAGGCCTAGGCAGGTGTTATTTTACTTTACTTTGAGTAACTCGCAGCAGAGGAGTTTTGCGTTTTATTTCACGATTTCATCAGAAAACGATTTATTCCATTCAGCTTCTTGCTTGTGAATCAAATAACCGTCTTACGCTCCTACAACTGCGCAAGGACAATCTACTTTAGTTTACGCTACGCTTATTCCCATTTCGATTTTTCTAACATTTTAATGAATATATACCATGCAAACAAAAAGATTGCTTATTGTTACATTAGTTATTTATATAATTTATTATTAATTTTAAAAGATGGTTAAATTGTGCATTTTACGAAAGTCTGCAGTAATATTTACATACATATGTAGTATATCAGTTTTATTAACGACAATTTTAAATAAAAACGATTCAACGATGCACAGAAATGTACCGGTTTCATCATTAATTTTATTGAATTCTAAGTGTTGAATTAATTAGACTTTCTCTAATTAACTAAACCTGTAGGTAAGGAATAACGCATATATATTCGGTTGTCTATTCTAAAATAGCAACAAATACAGAACGAAGTTAATAGATATTCAGTATATACAATTTATATCAGTAAAGTGATAATAATTATATAGAAATGTCGTTATTGAAACTCATATTATGAATATGTATGTAAATATTACTTCAGACTTTGTAAAATACATTGTTTAACCATTTTTTACATTAATAATAAATAACTTAAAAAAACTAAAGTAACATTGCGTGATCTTTTAGTTTGCATAATAAACCTTTATCAAAAGTGTTAGAAAAATTGATATGGGAATTAGTTAGTAGATTAGATTAGATTTAGATAAAGTAAAGATAAGATTAGATTAGATTAGATTAAAGTATAGAGATTAGATTAGATTAGAGATTAGATTAGATAAAGTAGATAAGATTAATTAGATAAAGTAGATAAGATTAGATTAGATAAAGTTAGATAAAGATTAGAGATTAGAGATAAAGGAGTGCTCATGAATCGTGATGTAAGTAAGTGTTGCCGAACATGTCATATCTGTCGGGTTAAAGCTAAACCAGGCGCCTGCGTTCCACCCAATCCACTCATTCTAATTCCAGTAATTAACGAACCCTTTAGTAAGATCGCTATTGCCTGCGTCGGACCCTTGCCCGAGACGAAACGGGGAAATCAGTGTCTCTTGACCACTGTCGACTCGGCCACACGGTATCCCGAAGCCATACCCCTTACACGTATTACTACAAGGAACGTTGGGAAGGCTCTTGTCAAATTCTTCACTCACGTAGGACTGCCATCCGCGGTACAGTCAGACCAGGGATCTGATTTTACGTCTGGCTTATTTGAGAAAGATGAAGTCACTGGGCATCCAACAGTTTAAATCGACTGCTTACCATCCACAGAGTCAGGGAGTAGTGGAGAGATTCCACCCTACCCTCAAAACAACGATCAGAGCTTGCTGTTTGGACACAGGCTCTGAATGGGCTGATGCTACAGGCTTGCTTTTATTTTCGGTGAGGGATAGTGTGCAGGAAAGCCTTGGATATACTCCCTTTCAACTTCTTTACGGTCATGAAGTGAGGGGTCTTTTAGAGGGTTTAAAAGAGTGTTGGTTATGCGAGGAAGAAAGGGTTCCAGCTGCCACGTACGTAGAATGTTTTAAGAACCGGTTAAAGTCCGCATTTTCATTTGCACACGCTTACCGAGGCAAAGCACGAAGTAAGATGAAAAAGCGTTGCGATGAAGTAAATAAAGTTAAAGCACAAAACGTACTTTTAAATGGACAGACGAGTGTCAGAACGCCTTTGACAGGCTCAAGTGCGTCTTAGCCAGCGCCCCTGTGGTGGAAGCTCCCGACATGAAAAAGCCATTTACGATCAGTGTTGATGCGAGTGATGGTGGTGTCGTTGCGGTTCTCTTTCAGCCCGACACGAATGAAGTTTTGTATCCTGTGTGCTACTACTCTTGCAAATCTAAGACCAATCAGAAATCGTCTTCCAGGGTAGAAAAGGACGCTTTGGGGATGCTGCTTGCACTAGAAAAGTTCAAAGTTTATTTGACAGCCACAGCTCATCCGATAACTGTGAATACGGACCATAATCCCCTTGTGTTCATTGAAAAGGTAAAATTTTAAAATATGCGTATTCTCAGGTGGGCTCTCTCCCTTCAGCCCTTCAATATAAAGATCGTTCATATCAAGGGCAAGAGCAATGGTATTGCAGATGCCCTGTCAAGAGCATGAGAAGTGTTTCTTCTGTTGTATAT